ATAAATAAATGAAATAATTTAGTAAATACATAACAATTCTTTCAAAAATTTGAAAAATTATATATCTATTACCTATGTATAATGAGAATCTATTGTTATTTTCACCTCTTCTGCTTCTAAAAATATTTAATTTTTTATGCTAACATTATATCATTCCTTCCAGTAAAATAAAATAATCATCAATTCAGTATTGTAATAATGGATCTATTATTAGAAATTATAGTAATTCATAAATGACTTTTTTCAAGAGTTTCTATTATGCTATATAATGATGAAGCAGTGAACTAGGTATTCTGTTTTGTATCATTTGACTAATGGTCAAATGCTTGAATGTTGAGATTATGTATTTCAGAATTTTTAGTATAAATAAGTATGGTATAAAGACTCCAACCATGTTTGCCAAAAAATTCAGATTTTGTTTCTCTTGAACTTTTTGGCAGAATTTGCATTTTATAATTTACAATTAATAATGCGCTATCTGAATCTAATTGAAGTAAATTAAAATTTAACTGAGCATTTAGGTATATTTTTCAGTATAGTAAGACATGAAGGATATTAATTATTTTTGATATTCTTTAAGAGTTTGATAATGCGTTATGTTTAGATTATTTTTTAATTTCTCAGAAAATTCAAATAGTCCTTCGCAATTTTAACAGATTTTTGGATTATTTTAATTGTAATTACTAAATGCATATCAAAGATAATAACTCATATAAGGAATATAAATAGTATTGCCTATATCATCAATTTATAATTTTTTATCAAAGTCTTTGCGAAGATATCGTCTTAAACTTTGTAATTCATTTATTAATTCCTTCTGATTTTATTATTTATTATATATATTAGTATGATGCTAAATTAAATTTTTATATAATAAAAATAAATAATAAACTTACTTGAATACCTGAATCTATAATATACTTTTCGATAATTTTTTCAATTTCAGCAAATACTAAATAATCATATTCATTACACATCATACATTATCCTCCAAAATCTTCTTTATATTGAAAGCATCCTTTTTCTAAATGTGTTATAAATAATGTATATTACATGCTGTTAGGATATAATTCATAAAATTTTCTATAATACCCTTTTGTGATCTTGAAGATATAATATAGGTAATCTACTTTTATTATCAGTTTTGTACAAACTCATATTTACATTTCTTTTATCTGCAAAAAATGATTTAAATTGACTTAATATTTCTTCTTTTAGCTTAACATAATAAATAACTGATTTTAATAATAGAGGTGCATTATAACCATTAACTCATATATATTTTTTGGATTTAAAAATAGTATGTTTCCCAACTTTTCAATACATAAAGTAATAATTAATTATTATTAATCTGTTAATTTAGAAATTTTTATTATATAAATTTTGTACTTATATTTAAATTTGTTTTCAATTCTGAGTAAGAAAATTCATCTGCAATAATTAATAAAATCCTATATTTACCATCACTATTTTGTTTATTATTATCCAATATATATCTAAAAGAATTCCAAAAGTCTTTGTTTTGTTAGACATGTGGATGGAAGTGCTGATAAGAAAATCTATTTTGCTAAGTTGTTGAAGTATTATATGATCTTGTTCAGGTTAAGATGATCTAGACTAAAGATGACACCTCAATTAGTTACAACAGATGATAAATAAGCATCACAATATTGCAACGAATTACAACATTATTAAAATTAAGTTGTAATAGGTAACAAATAAGCGTCACAATTTTGTAATGTCATCTTTAACCTAGACCAAAATTAAAGCTCTATACAGTTCAAATTAATCTGAAAATTTTCAGTTCAGATCAATTTCGGTTTAATTTCAGATTGTAAAATTTCAATTCAAAAATTTTTAATTCAATTCAGATTTTTTTCAGATTATAAATTTAATCTGAATTGAAAAAAATCTAAACTGAACTGAAAATTTCAGATTAATCTGAAATTTTAGATCATTTGGAATGATAAAATTATCGTTCCAAATGAATGATAAGAAAATCATTTGATTGGAATGATGAAATTATCATTCCAAACAAATGATAAAAAAATTGTTCATTTGGAATGATTGAAGTTATCATTCCAAACGAATGATAAGAAAATCGTTTAATTGGAATGATGAAATTATCATTCCAAACAAATGATAAAAGAATTGTTCATTTAGAACAATTGAAGTTATCATTCTAAATGAACAATAAGAAAATCATTCAATTAGAACAATAAAATTATCATTCATTTAGAATGATTGAAGTTATTGTTCTAAATGAATAATAAGAAAATCGTTCAATTGAAATAATGAAATTATCGTTCTAAATGAATGATAAGAAAATTGTTTATTTGAAGTTATCGTTTTAAATGAATGATAAAAGAATCATTCGATTAGAATAATAAAATTATCATTCTAAATAAATGATAAGAAAATCATTCATTTGGAATGATTGAAGTTATTATTCTAAATAAACAATAAGAAAATTGTTTGATTAGAATAATCAAATTATCATTTTAAACGAATGATAAGAAAATCATTTATTTAGAATGATTGAAGTTATCGTTTTAAATGAACAATAAAAGAATTGTTTAATTGGAACAATTAAATTATCATTCTAAACAAATGATAAAAAATCGTTTAATTGGAATAATTAAATTATTATTTCAAATAAACAATAAAAGAATCGTTTAATTGGAACAATTAAATTATCATTTTAAACAAATAATAAAGAATCATTTAATTGGAACAATTAAATTATCATTTCAAATGAACGATAAAAGAATCATTTATTTAGAATAATTGAAGTTATTATTTTAAATGAACGATAAAAAATCGTTCAATTAAACAATGAAATTATTATTCCAAACAAATGATAAAAAAATTGTTCATTTGGAATAATTGAAGTTATTGTTTCAAATAAATGATCTGAAAATTCAGATTAATCCAAAATTTTTAGTTCAGTTCAGATTTTTATTGATTTACAGTTCAGTTCAGTTTCAGATTAGTCTATAATCTAGACTGAACTGAACTGTTCAGAACATTAACCAAAATTGATACTAATAAAAATTATTTATCAATATAATTTTTATTAATATTATTTCATATAAAATTTAGGTTATAAAATATATTACTTCTGATTCTTTATTTAACCAAAGAGTTACATTATAGCTACCAATATCCTGAAGCATAGATTGCTATACTTTTAATTCTCAATCACTAAATTTATGATTATTTAGATATAAAAATTATTTAGATATAAAATTTGTAATTGTGAATATAATTCAATAATTGGATTTTCTTGTTCAAGCCAACCAAGAAATAACTAATATCAATTAAGATTTGCTATTATTCTTCATTTTAAATAGTAATCATAAATTTGTTTTATAATAGAATAATTATTCTAATTTTTTGAAAAATATGTGGGTAATTTTACTTTATGCTAATGAATGAGAGTTTGGACAAAAGAATTTTCAAGATTAAATAGTAGATTTCCGTTATATTTTTTTATTAGCTCTAATTTTCCTATATAGCAATTGATGTTTCCCCTTCAAATTTTTTTTTCAATTGGTTATCTTGATAAATTTCAAGAATACATTTATCTTCTTCAATTTTAGACACATAAATTGCCTGTTTATTATTGTTAAATTTGTATATTAAGATAATTTATATCTGAAACTAGCGTTAAGCCAATTTACTTAAAAAGAAACTCCTATTTCATATATAAATATTTTCAGTGATTTAATAATAATCGAAATAGGAATAAATAAAATATCTCTTAAAAGTCTATGAATTATATCTTCATCTTGCCATCCTAATACCAAAAGACCAGAAAATTGCATTTTATTTTCAAAAATTTGTGTATATATCAAAGATATAGCTTTAGAAGAATCATTTTCTATTTGACCAATATATGCATTACTTTGACACAAATACCCAGGTAAAAACATGATTTTTATTACTAACAATAATAGTTACAAAAAAATTGTGATTATTAAAATAGGTTTTAGTTTTTTAACCAATATTAAAGGGAAAAAAGTTGTGTTTTCTTTATCTGTTGATATTTTCTACCAAAAATGTGAATATAGCCTATAGTAAATTCTTCAACTATAAAACTAAGATCCACTAAACTAATTGCAATTAAGCGGTATTTTAGCATAAATATTAAAGTAATATTAGTTATACGCGTTAGATTCAAAAAAGTTATGTACGTTTAATAATACTTATTCTCAAATTTTATTATGATGTAATAGTTACATAGTGTCGATCTTATCTGGATTATCAATTAAAACTATTATATTTAATAGCTAATATATTAAATTTTACATAACATAATTCTCATAATGAAAGTATTGATAATTAAGGTATTTTTAAAATAATATAAGCAAATCTTCTAATAAATTTTTACCTATACTTTTTATCTAATAATAAATACTCAATAGTAAATATAATTAATAATTTAATTATTTTTAGTAAAATTCTAATATTTTTTAAGCATTATGTTTAAGATACAAAATAAGTTTGTTTAATTGATAATTTTTTAATAATTTTATACTTTTAAATAATTACATTTTGAAAAAAGAATAAAGATCTTTTGTAATATTTTAAAGTCTCATAGTTATACATATCACAAAATTACTCATTTAATCTGCATAATGATCAGAAAATTTTAATAATGCAAAATATTAAACTGATACTTGTAATTTAAAATCATATTCTGTAAAAAACTTTACTATTATATTATAAAATCTTTTCTAAAATAAACTAATAATTTGATTTAAATATTTAGAATTGAATTATAAAACCATTTTTTAAATAATTTATACTTTTTGATATATGCTTTTAGTGTTTTTTTTATGCTTAAGATAAAACAAAAATCACTTTGATTTTATATATTGATATTATATTATTTGATAATTAAATTGTTTTTTATAAAGTATATAAATATAATCTAATTGCATATCTATTGGTATCTTTGTCTGTCTTATTATAACTATCATAAAGATCTTAAGCTAAATATAAAAGATTTATTAAAAGTTCTTTTTGTAAAAGTTTATTAATATTAAGTAATTTACTAAAAGCAATCTTTTCAAAAAAATTTATTATAATATAAATAACATAAAATTTATAAGGATTCAAAATATATTAATATCACTAACTTATTAACTAAAATAATTATACCTTCAGTTTTGTCATTTATATAAAATTTGTATTATCTAAAATATATATAAAGCATTATTGTAAATTTTTTAAATTAATTAAAAATATTATATATTACTTAAGCAACTGATTTTTCTAAATAATTTGTTAAGTCTTTTATTTCTTATACATGAAATTTTAACTTGTCATTTTTTGAGTCTTAAAATATAATATATAACACAAATATCTTTTATTAACTTTGAATAGATTTATCTACTATTATTCTAATAATAAAAATTTTAAAAGTATATTTTGATTATTTTAATTAAAATTTTATTTATGTAAATTTCACTAATTTCTTTATTTATTAAATAATAGATTTATATTAAATTTGCAGTGGTAAATTTTTTTTAATTAGAAAACCTAAAATTATCTGTATAACTTGAATCGTACTTTAAAATGATATTTATCTAACTATGATACTTGTATAATAATATTAATAAATTGAGTTATACTCATTTTTATTTTTTATAATCATTATTTGAATAACTGTTTTTAAATTTTATAAATCAATTAATAAAGGTCTATTTGTTACAGCATAAACTTTTAATATATATTGATTATGTCTTTATTTGTATTGTAAAATACTATATATTACTGTATATAGTATCCTTCAAAAATAATATCCCCTGTGATTAATATCTGAATATTATTCTTATTCATGTTAACCTAGTCACAAATAGTATCTAGATACTTTTCAAAGCTAAATTTTGTGAAAATTTATTAATATCTAGGCATAGTATCATATCTTCAATATTAACTTTTTTTATTACTTGAATATTTTTTATAATTTTTATATAAAGTGAGAAAAAGTATTAAGTTTTTCTTAATATTTGCAAAACTGAATTGAAGAAAAAAAGTAAATTTAATTTTTTTTTGATATTTATTTATTAAAGTTATAAAATTGTAACCTCCATATACAGTATATGATAATTCCTGCTAATTAATAAATTACCTTAAGTTTTTTAGCATTTGATTTTTCAAGTTGAGAAACTTGATTTTTTAAGGCTTTATTATTATGAATTAATAAGCTTACATTTTATCTTTCTTTGTAAATAGAATTATTGACAAAATCCATTATTTTTTTTTGCAAAAAATGTGACTTTAATTTAGTCTTTTAAGATATCTTATGGTTCAAAAAAAATACTAGCTACTTATAATTATTCATCATCTAATTTTTCAAGTAAATTTATTAATAAATCACACTATTTTAATTTCTTGAATACTATAATGTTTAATATATTAGTAGTGATTTGATGTATTGCCTTTAAAGATCTATTATTTACTAACTCTAAAAAAATGATTTTATAAGCAACTTATAAAGTTTCACTTTTCATTGATGTTAGAGATTTGCAAATTTCATAAATTATTTTATGTGTATCATTTTATCATTTACGCAAAGCTATTTGAAATGTCTGCCTAGATTATATTATTCTTTTGAATAATCTTGGTATTTTATCTATAAATAGTATATAAATCAGTATTTCAAATTTCTTTAGCAAAATGAAAATTATTTATATTTAGTCTAAAATATATATATATATACTTTAAAACTTAAAGATCAAAATTATGGTCAAAATATTAAAATGTAAAATAAATAAAAAATAAAAAATCTTGAATTTAATAAAAAATTAGTTATTTTTATATTATTAATATTTCACTGTATATTTGATATAAATATTAATAAATACTCTTAAACTTATGATTATTTATAGATTAGAAAATTCGTTTTAACTTAAAGAATAGAAGAGAAAAAATAATTAAAGTATAAAATTAGTTTAAAGATTTATAATAATTTTAATATTAAATAGTAGCAAAATTATAGACTATTTTAATATAATTTAATTTAACTAAAAAAATTGATAATAGTAAATTAATCAATATAGCTAATAGAATATTGATTAATTAATTAGTATCTCACAATATATTATTGATAAACAATTTTAATAACTAAAAAGATTGAAAATTCAGTTCAACAAAATGAATTACTTAATTAAATAAAAAATTAATCAATAGAATAAAATTAAAATGTCAAATTCTATTTTGATTAAATAAATCAATTTAACTGATTTAATAAGTTTTTAAATGAAAAAAAAAATAAACTTACCTGTTTGAAATCTTTTTCAGTATAAGGTTGACCATATATAAAAATACAATATCCTTTAAATTCATTAATTAATTCTTTAATTTTATTATAAATTTGATTATATTCTTTTTCATAAGGAAACTTTAATTCTTAATTTTACTCTTGCAATATCATATCTTAATAAAGGTTTACTTATATATTTAATCTAATTATTAATATTTGATGATAATAACATGACATTTTCCTATTTCATATATTTAAAGAATATTAAACTATTTAAATATTTACCTTATAGAAGATGATATAACAGTTTGTATAGAAGCTTATAAATTTGATATTTTATTCTTTTTATCATAATAATAATCATATATTTTGATGCCATATACTTATCAGTATTTTGAATACAAGTTAAAATGGTAATTTTTTTATTATATTTTAGTGTGATATCTTTAACTTATTTTATATTTTTATTATGCTTTGAATATTAAGAATATATTTTATTTTATTTGATCTATTATAAATTAATTTTTTTATATATAAAAAAATGCATATTAAGAAAAACTGCTTGTAATACAATTTATCATATTGTTTTATTTAAGATTAATTTATCATATTAATTTAACTATTTAAGAAAAGAAAATTGCTAAACGAAATGACTTTTAGGAGTAAAATCTATTATTCCTTCTATTAATATATTATCATCATTATTGTAATCCTTATAAAATTCAAAAGTATTAATAATACTTTTAATGTTATATTCAATCATAATTTCTTTTTAAAAATCTCACAGATCTTTATCTAAAGAAATAATTATAAAATATTAGACAGAAATATTCAGAAGAATACATGTATAAATATATCAGATCTTAAGATATATCTTATTTAAGCTATTATTCTTCAAAAGAAATTTATTTTAGATGATATTAATCTCTTATTATCTAGTAAATAAAGTACCATTCAGAAACATCAATTATAATTCTAAATATTTTATCTACATTTTGTCTATTATTGAATTTTTTAGCTTAATATTTATATGATAAAGTTAATTCTACTTTCATAATATCTAAGCAAATCTCTTTAATTATATAGTTAAGTCATATATTCATTCAGGTAAATTATAATGTCAAAATTTACAATACCACTTAAATTATAGATTTTTAGAAGACTGCTTACCATTCACGTACTTATATATATTATAAGTTGATTTATTGAATAATATTTGCAATGAAGCAAATTGTTCTTTCAATTCTAATATCTCCTGGTTTAAAGTGATAGTAGTTTCTGATAATTTGATCAAGATATGAATATATTTCTTAAGTAATTTCTCAGCCTAGTAGTCTCTATTATATAAGAAATTCTTCTTATTCTTAAGGTAAAAGATTACATAAGAGATTGTTATAATTATTAGAGATCTTTACTTTTCATAGTTTTAAGTTTTTCACTTTAAAATTAGCTAAAACATCTATTCTTTTCTTAATAACTTTCTTAAATTCACTAATATATTTTCTTTGATAAGATAGAATAAAGTAATAAACTTATTTTAGCTTATAATATTTTTTTTATAAAATTTTATTGATGAAATTAGTATATGTAATTACAAGTTAATCAAATTATAATGAAATAAATATTAGAGAATAAAAAATATACAATTTTAACTAAGAATAG